GTCCCCATAGGCAACCACTAACCTGCCTTGTAAATGTCTGGGCTTCTGATTCCCATCTCCCTCCTACCCATGTACAGACAGGAAACAAGGGCCAGGGAGGAGAATGGGGGACACGGGGCTGGGAAAGATCAGAATCAGGCCCGGGGGGGGTCGGTATTGCAGCCTGAAAACGGGAATTGGGACTCATTTCCCAAGGGCTCTGGGAAAAGAGGAAAGAGCGGGAGGAGTAGCGTGCGGTGGGGTCCCCCCTGCCTTGGAGCGGTTTGGTTCTCCTCTGTTCTAAATTAGATAAGAGCGACCTTACCTGGAGGAGAAGCAGTGATGGCTACCAAAGAGAATTATCCTTGTGCGTAGTAACCGCCTGGTGTGCACATTTCTGCGCTTGTAACGAGGAGCAACTGCAGAGAATGCACCAAGTTTCCCCCAGTTACCCCAGCCAAGGTCCAGCTTGTCCGATATTACCCCCACTGGGGGTGAGTTTTAATCACGAGCAAAATCGGTGTGGAAAGAACCTATCCGAAAGAAACTCCTCCTTTTCTCTTTACTGGGGCTCATGCTACTGGTTTTATGGAAACAATTCTAGAACAACTTCATTTTTGTACCTGCTCTTGTGTTTTCCCACCCTCTTCTCTTTCTTGGGTGGGAGCGACAGATTTCTCACCACCACGGGCTGTTACTTCCCTTTCTCCCAGACTAATGGGGGGGATTTTTCGGGGTGCTGGTGGTGTGTGCTTAGCTACATCGTGGTGACCCCAAGGCAGAGGCAGGGGAATCCGCAGCAGTTGCAACCAGCAGCTCCTGCTATAAGATCCGCGGAGTGAAGCAGGAGCCCAGCTATTTCGGGGGAGTTGAATATTATTTGAAGGAGGGAGGCGAGGTGGGGAGGGAGGAAAATTAGCCTAGTAGCCAGAATGTGGGCTCCCGAACAACAATCAAACTTTATTTTAACTTTCTCTCCCTCCAGCTTCCCTTTTCAGATGCACATACGCTTTTACTTTACGGGGGATCTAAATGCTTTATTAACTGCTGAGATTACAAACCTCATTTGGAACTGGGGTTTTTAGCCAGTGTACTTTCGGTCCTTGGAAAATTGCCCACATGTGTAACTTGTTTTTGCTTCTCTTCAGACAAGGAATTCCCCCCCTCCCTCCCTTTCCCTCCCTCCTCACCACTTACGGATTTTTAACAGACGGCAGCATTCAAACTGGGAGCTAACACAGGAAATGGCAAAGGTAGAACTTTCTGCTTTTAGGCTACAGAAACTTATTTCACTAAAAAGTATGTAAAATATAGGTTTTACTCTTCAGAAGGGATTTTTTTTTTCTCGGGCTTTCGCGTGTTTGGAGGAGTCTGTGACTGAAGTTTCTTTCATAACCTCTTAGACCTGCCTAACTGTATCGTTCATAAATGATGTTTGCTTTATGGTGAGATTTTATTTCTGTTTCCTGACTTCTAAAAAAAAAAAAAAAAAAAAAAAGTTATTTTCTTGTTGTTATTATCATTATTATTACTATCATTATAATTTAAGAATGTTTCATATCGCCTGAAATAAACGCTCAGCCCTTTGAAGGCTGCATTATCTCCGAATCTGGTCTCCAGACTCCCCATAGCCATGAAGTTCACTCTTAGCTTTTATCCTCTCTTAGCTTATCCTTATCGGCTTCCAAACCTACGCTGGAGAAGTAAATATTCCCCAAGTACTGCAGGTTACATCCCAACCCCGTAAAGGCCTCTCAGGGTGAAGATCCTGGCGAACCCCCAGTCCTGTACCTCAGGACCCACAAGTCCCCTTCACCTCCTCCGTAGCTCTGGTAAAGAGGCAAAACCAGCTGGAAGAAGGTGCCTGTTCTAATAAATACTAACAATCGCCTTCCAAAAGTGGTTTAAATATGCTTCCGGTAAGAAATGGATCATCTGCTCTTTCTCTTACTTATGCCAAAACTTATAAATCAGCACAAGGTGGCAATTGCCGAACTTCAAATCGGCATAGTTTGCAAATATTTTCTATTTGGTTGTTTTCAGCTTCAGAAATGCCAACCCAAAGAGCTGTTTGCTGAGGATGGATTTTGGCAGTTGTGTGTTTCAAAGCGCTGGTTGGAAATTATCCCTTCTCTCCACAAACAATAAAGAGTATTTATAAACAGTGTGTGAGTTCAGAAGCCTGTGGCTTTCCACTGCAAGCTGACAATGCTCTGAGTTTTTCCTCACAGCCAAATACACTTGGTGCTGATTCTGAAAGCAGGAAAAAGTTTCCACTTCGGACTTTCTTCCTTTTTTTTTTTTCAATAACTATTTCCAGTTCCACTTCCCTTTACCAGCTCACAACAATCACATCTCTAAACTAAATCTAGTTTGCAAACCGAGCAAAGCTCGCACATCCTGCCTCCTCTCTCCCAAAGATTCGTCCATTTAGACTTCAACACCCCGCTCCGAGGTCACTTTCTCCTTGACTTTTCCTTCCCCAAGTTATTTTGCAATCACAAGGGCTTTTCATGTAATTTCTGATGGGCTCTATTCGAGGCATTAAAATATAAACGCCTACATAATGTCAGCCGGAGCAGGCAGCGCTGCACAACACGGTCTCTCCATGCAGACAGACATGGGATGAAGCTGTCGTTTGCCTTAAGCCTCTCTCAGAAAAGGCTACAGAGAGATGAACTACAGGGATATGTCTAAAAAATAAACCACTGAACAAACAGAAACCTCCAGAGGAGTAAAAGTAAATGGATTTTGCAGATCTTGTGAGGTTTCCATTCACTGGGGATCTGAAAACCCGTGTGTTCTGCCTCACAGCCACACTCCTCGGAGTCTTCTTGGTTTAAATTCATATACTACAGAAAATTATATACTCTCATGCTGACATAGTTCATCATTATTTATAGGAGGCGCACCAGGATTTTATTCCACCAATATATTTATTACAGGTAAGACATGGCCAATCCATCTCGTGAGCAGAGAACAGGTGTTTTGCTTCAATTAACGTTCAATAATTTCATCTATACTTATTCAACACCCTGCTACCAACGCGGCTGTTTATCCATCAGTTGTATAAACACATTTCCATGTGCCAAGCGAGTTTAAGCTCCACAACACACTTAAATCAGCCCTTGCCTATCCCAGGCTCTCAGAACATGTGCAGAGCCCCTCCGAATCTCTTGTGAAATCGTCTGATTTTTTAAAAATCATTCCTGAAAGGCAATAAAGCCGAGAAATATGACAACGTGAGCGACCGGCTCATATTTCATGTCTGCTGGCACGGGGTCTTTTCATTTGAAAACCTCCCCAACCCTTAAGGAAGTTAAAAGAAGGGTTAGGAGGGAATACAAAATACAAGGAGATAGAGATGTGAAAAGTTGGAAGCAGTAGGAAATTCCCAACTCGTTTCGCACAGCCCCTGCTCGTGTGAGATGCACTGGAAAGGAGACACCCTGCCCCACGCTGCCCCTGGTAGGGGATTTCTCTGCCTTCACCGGCTTAAACGCGACTGCGGTGAAGTGGAGTTACTTTGGATTAACCCCCTGAAAAGGAGAGGAGATCTGGCAGGGCGGTGGGGAGTACTCACCTGGTGACATCTGCCCGCGGCTGGCTTGGCAAGATCTGAGCCCAGGGCTGGAGGGGCTCCCCAAGCCCTGCTCCCACCTCACCTTGGCTGGAGCTTGCAGACTGAGCCTGCTTGTCCAGCCCAGGGAGGATTCTGAGCTGCTTGGGGAGCTCTTGGTACCCTGAGGGAGGCAAAAATTCAAAGTAAACTGACCTCCGGCATTAAGCTCCAGCTCTCCCTGTCCATCATCCCGACCCCCTCGATTATTATTATCATTATTACCTTTTTTTAATGAAAACAGACAGCTTCCTAACAGCGCCTCATTTCTGAGAGCTCTGGTCCTGAATGCGGGCAAACGGGTCCTTCCATCAGGCTGCAGCTTGTGGCAAAGCACCGCTTATAGGGATAAGGGAAAAATCTAAGGCTTTGGGTGTAGGTTTGTAAGCTCCTTCATCATTTTCCCGTATTCATAAACCACCTCTGGCAGCAATTTCCCACCTCCGTTTTGTGTAGGAGCAGACACAGGGACACACACGCACGGACACTCACAGGGAAAGAAATGCGAATTACAGTTTTCCTTCATTTCAGGCGGCTATTAGCACCCCTCAATGTTATTATTAGCCTGTTAATATAGACTTCCATCTCTATACACTTCAGGAAGGATCCGCGATGATTTATTATTCCTAGGAATCTCTTTGCCCTTCACTTTAAATATCCTTCAGTGCTGGGGTGAGAGGGAGAAGGGCGGAGGGGTAATAGATTAAAGGAGGCAAATTGATCCGGACTGTTACAGCTGAAGTCCATAGAAACACTTTTGCCGTAATCAGAGAGAGCACCTTTTCCTTAACCAACATTTACGATGCCATCGGACCGTCTTGCAATAAACGGATTGATCATCATAACCGGGTAAAGCTGCCCCCGCCACCCCGCACCCTCCCGGCTGGGACCCGCACCGAGCCCAGTCCGCCTCAGTCACGGACTTGCGTGCGAGGGAAACCCCAAACCGTCTGGTTTTGGAAAACACACGGAAAATTAAGCGAGGGGGGAGGTTGTTCCGCACGCACCCGCACCGTGGGCACACACATGTGAGGTGGGAGGGGGGGCACGGTGACTGAAAACGCGTGGGATTCCTTTTTTTTGCCCCCTTTCTTTTCCACAGGCAATAAATTCAAGGCTATAAAAATCAAAGAAAGCTAATGTAAGTTTTATTAAACTATTTAACCATCACAAGTTTGAGGCATTCTGTAACAAAGCCGGATCAGTGGCGCGCTGTATTTTACTAGCCTTGTAAAGTTAAATGAAGGCTTCTGATTTCAGCAATGTGGGAAACTATTTTAGCCCGAGCAAAGCAACCTTGAGATGATGCCGCCAAACATGCGAACATATGTTCGCATACACGGATATTTTTAAGATATTATATATATGTGTATATATATATGAGCATAAAGCCTAAGGCAGGCTCTGGATGCAGACAGAGGTTGCAGCTCGGCAGCTCGCTGGTCAAAGTTGCAATGCCACTTCCACGCCGGTGACATTTTACGTTTCATATTTACCCACATTATTTTACCATGTTAACAATCCATTCCCCCATCCCAGCTGGTTAATTATTTATCACACTCTCCCCACCAGTCTTGCTACCTAAATCCGTGTTTTCTCTCTACAAAACCGCGTGTATGCGTGCATTTACGTTTAGATGCCTGTAACGCCCGCACGTATATATGTCTGTATATGAAATGACGGCGCGGGGGGGTGGGTTTGTTCTTATTCTCTGGGTTTTTGCTATCGTACTCTGGAGCCCGAGCGGGAAAGAATAGCTTTTATCTCTATTCCCCCCTGATGGTTATTAAAGGCAAAGCGAGCACATCAGCATCTTTCTTTAAAAATATATAATATTAATAATGGAAAGAAATCCGCCCCCTTCCCCCCTTTAGAGTCCCCCAATGTTTCAGGAGCAAATCTAGGAAGGGATTTAGCCCCAGCTTTGCCCGTTTGGTGGCTTTTTCGAAACTCCTGACGTTTTGCAACATTGCATAAACATAAAACAATCCATCCTTGATATGGAATGCAAGGGCGGATGACAGCGCAGCGCAGCCCCCTCGGCTGCGATTGATTTACGCCGAGACTGACGCTTTATCAGGCACACGAAAAAAGTTTGACCAATCATTTTGCTGGGAGCTCACAACACAGCAGCCCAACTGTACTTTGTTGGCTGGGAAGTTGGAGAAGGGGGTAGAGTACAAATCTAGATCTGTCCTATATATTTTTTTCCCTTCATTGAACCGTGCTTTGTATGATGTCTGAGAATGTCCATTTCTGGGACTCTTAGCAATTATTATGTCGACTCCATTATAAGTCATGAAAGTGAAGACTCGCCTTCAGCTAAATTTTCATCTGGGCAATATACGAGTTCCAGGCAAGCTGGGCACAATGAGCATCTAGAATTCCCCTCCTGTAGTTTTCAGCCAAAACCTCCTGTTTTCAGCGCCTCCTGGACTCCTTTGAATCCACATTCTTCTGGTACCCTTCCTGCCGTCTACCATCCATATATTCAACATCAAAGCGTCCCATCTGACGGCAGGTATCTACGGAGCTGGCTGGACCCCGTGCCCCGAGCAGAGAACCTCCCCGGGCAGGGAGCCGTTAAGGCAGAGCCGCTGCTGGGCCGTCCCGGGGATGTCCATAAACAGGGGACACAGGAGTACAATTTAGAAACTTCTGCTGCAAGGGAAGGGATCGTTTCCAATCAAAGGCCCAGCTTCGAGGACAATAAAGTTTGTGAAGGAAGCGAAGACAAAGACAGGACAGATCAAAGTAAGTTATAAAAGTGAGGAAGTAAACAGTATAAAAGCTGGAGGAGGTGCAATAAAAGGGGACAATGCTGCGTAAAGTTTAAAATCAGGGCTTAAAGAAAAGTCTCAGCTTGCGGATGCCAACCTAAGGGGAGAGGTGGGGAGGGGAGAGGGGTGGCATTGTCTCTGCCGGTAAATAAAAATAAAACCAAAAATGAACGTCGTCTCTGAGCTTAAACAGAGTCCAGAGAGGACAAAAGCTGGAGCGAGTCCTCCTTTCTCCTCCAGAGCGCTGGCTCCGGCAGCAGAGACCACTTTAGTAAGCGGGAGCAAATCTGCGCGGGTGCGGGCAGAGGGGAAGGGAAGGGACTGGGGGAGATGGGAAACGCCGGGGAGGAAGGTCGGGAAAGGGAACGGAAGGCGGCTGTCGGGGGAGACGAAGAAGAAGGTGAGGGAAAGACCCGAAATTACGGAGGGGAAGTTCATGGCGGGGGGGGGGGGGGGAGAGGGAGGGAGCGGAGAGCGGCGGGGCTGCTCCGCGCCCGCGGCCGGTACAGCGCGGTAGCCCCGGGGCCGGCTCGCTGCTTCCTCCGGCCTCCTCTGCCCGCTGGGGGGGGGCTGTTTGCTCCGGCTGGCTGAGTTGTTTGGGGGGTTTAGGTGTTTGTTTGTTAAATGGAACGGTTGAAGGTAGGAATATTTCAAAGCCACGCTTCTTTACTAGTTAAGAATAAAAAAAGGGGGTGGGGGGGTGGAAATGATGCTTCCAGCTTAATTAGCTTTTATTTGTAATGTAGCCAGATTGGGGAAACAGTTAAACTACAGCATGTGCTTTTTCTGCTATCTGCCTTGTCTTTCGCCTCCCTGAAATGTAGAACCCCCCCAACCATTCCCCTTTTAAACATTTAATAATACCATCAATAATGCTATTAGTAATAATAACTCTAATAATGGGTCTAATAGTGATAACAGTATCAGTGCAATGGCGTTTGTGCACCTCGTGCCGGTCTGGCTGTGCCCGGGCTCATTTCGGAGCCGCAGCCCGAGCGGGAGCCGCAGGGAAACTTGGCTTGGCCCCCGCCGTAAATATTTTACAGTGAAAGCCCAAGTTTTCCAAGCTGGCAGAGGAGCAGCCCCCGCCGAGGGTCCAGCTCCTCGCAGCCTGTGCAGGATGGTCTGACACAGTCATTCTTTTCCCCTTGAATTAACTTCTATCCCCCACCCCAAAGTGGAAGAGAGATTGCCACTGCAACCCTACGATTAAAAATACCGAATATTCTGGCCCTCGTGATTTCCTCCCCTCCTTGTGCAGGATGTTTGGGCGACTTTTTTTTCCCCTTCTCCTATCATTTAACTTGCACGCAGACACACACACACACATTCACACACACACAAAAAGAAAGTCCTATTCTATTGTACTGGGCAGAGATCCAGAACAAACTGCAACCGTGAGGTGAATGATTTGAGAGAATTAAATATCCAGGTCCTGTGCTCAATGTCCCTGAAATTGAATATATAAAAATCTTGTCCAAGAAAATGTTATTAAGCTATAAGTAAGTGCAGGGACCCGCGCAAAGAGGATGCTGTGTGGTTTCTCTGGCATGTGGTTACGACGCATATTTTGTTTTAAATAATAGTTTAATTTGGGCTGATGTTGAGAGCCTGCCAGGGCTGGAAGACGGAGCTGTTTTGCAGAAAGGGCTCCCACCAATTTCCCTGACTCCTTACATTTTTGGAAGTATTTCTTCATAATGAATCTCTGCCCTGTGGATGGCACAAGGATCTGTTAAATGATTTGCTGGATTTTAAAGAAAAGATGTGCCAGGACCTCCCTCCGTTCACTTCCCTGTTCAGGGATTTGTGTAGAGTGAATAAATAAAGCAAAACCGGCGTTTAAAATAGCTTCTATTTTAACGATCCAAAATATGACCAAAAAATAAACCCAAACCGACTAAAACTCCGTTAGGAAGCAGAGCCCTCCATTGCCATTAAAGGGTGGGTAGCAGGATTAACAGTATCAATTATTAACAGCTTTCTTCCTCTTTAATATTTAATTCTGCATATTAGATCAAGTCAATTACATTAAGGAAATAGCCGTGCAAATTTGTAAGAGGCAGTACTTACAGGGGAAGATTAACTGGATTATTTTTTACCAAAATATTCAATATATTTCATTTTGCGTAGAGGAAACATTCTGATGGAGCGCGCTTGTGTGTATGTATATACTTATAATGGTCCATTTAATTGGTGTAAAGGTTTATGGCTTCAGTCATAATTCCAGAGGAGGCAAAAGGAAATAAAATAGAAATACGTGGTCTGTCCAGAACCCTTCATTTTCCTCCTTCCCGCCTCTCCGTTACTCAACGGGCAGCTACTATTTGCATGTGATTAGTAGACGCTCTATTATTTACCCTAAACCCACTTCACCTTTGGGTGCGATCTTCACCACCGTAGTGGCCAGAGGGGTGGCTTCAGCTCCTAAAATGTTGTTTTCTCCCCCCTTGAATAGGCTAATTCCCATTATGTTCCTTCTGCAGCAGATTCCCACGTAGCTTCTCCCACACGCGAGGGTGACGGGCAGCCTGTTATTTATTCTTGGCTGTATTTGCAGCCCTGCAAATGTCCATGTCTCCGGGTAACGCTGTCCAGACCTCCGGCAGCAGAGTCCACCCAGCCCTCAGAGGATGTTTATTGTATCGAGGCCGTTTCTTGCCACATAGCACAGAAAAAGAAATAGGCAGGATTTATGCAAGGTTTCTCCAGCCCTCCTCTCCCTGCTCTGTTCCTGCGCCATGTGTCTGGAGGAGTAAATCTGCAGACACGTGGGAAAACAGGACTATAAAGAATTGCATATATATCTGTAATTTTGGCGTTGGTTTCTTTGTACACAGGGTGCGTAACGTGGAGAAGGGCGTTATGCAAATCTCTAAGTGCATGTGGGTGTTTACCTGGTGTAGATGGGCCCGGGGCAAAGCGGGGGGGGCTCTGTCAGAGACACGTGTGCACCAAAACATGCGTGTGCACAGGCATGTTACCCCGCAGAGGCAGGATGTGAAGGACAACGTGTGTGTGCACTGGGAGGGGTGTGCAGGTCAACATGCGTGTGCACAGGCTGGGTGCGCAGGTCAACATGCGTGTGCACAGGCTGGGTGCGCAGGTCAACATGCGTGTGCACAGGCTGTGTGCGCAGGTCAACATGCGTGTGCACAGGCTGGGTACGCAGGTCTACATGCGTGTGCACAGGCTGGGTGCGCAGGTCAACATGTGTGTGCAGGTCAACATGCATGTGCACAGGCTGGGTGTGCAGGTCAACATGCGTGTGCAGGTCAACATGCGTGTGCACAGGCTGGGTGCGCAGGTCAACATGCGTGTTCCCAGGCAGGGTTGTGCACGGCCAACATGCGTGTGCAGGACAACATGAGTGTGCACGGCCCCAGGTCTGTGAGTACAGACCACGCCGTCCAGCGTGTCCCAGCCCCCAACTTGGGGGGGTGGTGGCTTTTTTGGGGGGCTCTGCCCCCCGCCATCTGCTCGCCCTGCAGATCCCGTGTGATTTTCCTACTGGCTCCACTGCTGGCTCCCAGGCCAGGCGGCATTTTCAGCCGGGCGCGCACATGCGTGTGTATAATCTTAATATTTGATGGCATGATTAAAACCTTCTGAGAAACACTCAGGCTGCACCGTATTGATCTCGCTGCTTTTCTTTCAGCCAACCCAGCTGCCAGCTGGCTGCACGCCCGCTCCTCCCGGAAAAAACGATGCCCTTACACCAAATACCAGACCCTGGAACTAGAGAAGGAGTTTTTATTCAATATGTACCTGACGAGGGACCGTAGACACGAAGTGGCCAGACTCCTCAACCTGAGTGAGAGACAAGTCAAAATCTGGTTTCAGAACCGAAGGATGAAAATGAAGAAAATGAACAAGGAACAGGGCAAAGAATGAAAACCCAGAAAAGCAGCATCCCCCTTTCCCTCCCTTTATCCCCCAGCTCCCAGCCTCCCCTGTAGTGCTACCAAACCCCCCAAACGCTGGGGGGAAACCCCTCCCCGTTCCCAATCTCCACCTTTGCATGCGAGATGTTGCTTATTCTTCTGTTTTATCTTCTTAGTATTGCCACATCGGAGGCAACTTAGCCAAAACTGCAGCTCCTTTTTGGGGACACATGCTGGGTTTTGTCCTGCTCTCTCGTTTTCTTTCTCTATTTTTTTTTTTTTGTTGTTGTTGCCTTTTTCTTTTCTTCTCCCTACAGTGTAACATAGACACAGGCTCCTGTCCGAGCAGCAGCTTTCCCTGCTTGCGTTTTCTTCATGGAAAACAAGACTGCAAACACAAGTGGCCCCAAAGAGCCCCCACCAAACCTCGCTGTTTGTCTTTATCCACGTAAGGACAATGATTCTCTATAGCGTTCACAACACCCCGGCGCACTCGCACACACACTCACACCCCCTCACACACTCACACGTTGAGGTGGCCAAGGAACCAGACGATTTAATTAAACTCCTGCAAGACAGACACATTCGTAAGACTTGCGTTTAATTGCACCCAACAAATCATTTTCAATTCGCCAACTTTATACCAGGCAGTCGATTAATGACAGCCCAACTCCCAACCGCTCTGGGCTTTTTTTATTCCTCCACCCCCCTCTTTTTTTCCCCTTCCTTTTTGTTTTTAAAGCTTGTTTTATTATGCGGGATTTTTATTAGAATCGCGCCATGGCAGATACGCGACTTTGACCTGAAAGTTTCGTAGGATCTTTACAGGCAAAGCTCCTCATCTGGTAGTTTTATACTGGGTCACTTGGAAGAGGAGAAAAGACAGGGAGGGAGGCGAGAGAGTGTGTGTGGGGCACTCTCAGAGCCGCGTTGTAAATTATTTAGGAGAAAAAGGGGCGGAAGAACCCCTGCCAACTTATTCCTAACTTTTAGAGGAGGGGAAGAATGGGATTTTCTAGTTAAAAAACTACCTTAGTAGAGCTGTAAGGGGGGGGAAGGTTGTGTTCTTAGTGCTAGCATATTTATAATTTATTGTGAATTGACTTTTCCTAAAGCCGTAGCTGCTGCAGAGATGAAGTGCCAGCCCTGGCCTGTGTGTCTTTCTTCCCGCTCCTGTTTGCTGAGATGCTTTTAATACTTGAATGTCGGGGGGGGTGGGGGGGGGTGGTGTTGGGTGGGGTTGGTTTTTATGGTGGTTTTTATGCCTGAAGCCAGCTCCCGGCACATCTTCCCATTGCCACCCGCCTTCCCCGGGGCCCGGTGCCACGCCGGGGCCCGCAGCCTCCCGGGGAAGGAGCCTCGTCCCGTTGGTGGCACCGGGGGATGCGGTTTCTCCGCGCTGCCTCCCCCCCCCTTCCTTTTCCTCATCCCGAAGAAGCGTTTTGGGTAGCAAACCCAGACCTCGCCGGGCTCCTGTCACGCCGCCCGGAACTGGTTTCTCATCTGACAGACCCGCTGCAGGCTTCACCAACCCGCCCGGGCGGGGCTGGTTTCCCTTTATCTCTGTAAGACTTAACTTTGTTTTGGGAGGGGGTGGTGGTGGGGTGGTGGGGGGGGGAGGTTAGTACCAGTTGATTATATGGTGGGTATTGTAAAATGTGTTTGTGGTTGTGTTTCTGTGAATGTTGAAGCTCGTTTTCTGTTTCTACTGTGGCTTTTTTAAGTATGAGAAGAGTTCTGCAGTTGATAGTGGATGGAAAATGTTGAAATAAACCTCTCTCGTTTTCTTCGTGTGCAGATTTGTATATTTAGCTGCCAGGAGGCTGTCTAGGAACAAGGCGAGTGTAAGGTGGCTTGTTGTAATAGGGTGAGGAGGGGGAAAATAGAGAAAAGGCGTTTCTGCTGTATATCTGAAGGAACCAGCGCAAATCTGAGCTCAGAATTGGCTGACTCGTGTGTCCTCAGCGCCGGGTTCTGGGAGATCACTTTTATCTGCTGGGCAGGGATTGCTCTGGGAAGAAGCGATAGGCAGATTCGCGGTTTTTGGAAAGTGCTCCTGCTCCCCTCATCCTCCTCCCCACCCCCCGGGATTCAGAGATAAGAATGGAGGAGGACTAAAGTTTCCCCTCTCCAATTCCTTCTGAAAGGGTAAAAAAATACCTTCCCCTGGACAAGAAACCGGACCTCCAGCGTTAAACCCCATCCCTCAGAAAGTCTGCTGGTTTTTTTTCTAGTGCCTAGACTTTCTCCTGTAAAACTTTCCATCCTGAAGTAGCTCCTTGGGGGCTCCCAAATTTAACTGTTCTGTTGCCGGAGGGAGCTCAATGTAACCAAGGTTCACCCCGTGTCAAAGCCCCCGATCTCCCTCCTCGAAATTAAATTAAGAAAAGCTCTTTCGGAGACATTTTGAGCTGGGGGAAATCAAGAAGGTGGCGGCAGCAGGATCATTTCTTTATTGAACCAAACAGATGATGGGTGGAAAAAGACGTTTTCGCTGTGTTTAAGCTGAGCAGTCAGATCTTTCCGTTTGATTTGCTTCTTCTCAAGGATGGATGAATTTCAAATGCTTCATGCTGAATTGGAATATTCCTCCCATCTCGAGCTGAGCATGGATTTGCCTAAATCCTCACTACTATATTTTTCAGAAGTGTATCCGTGACTTAATTGAGGTTTGCAACCCATCGGCCACTGGGACTTAGAAACGTTTTTCACTTTCCTTAGAGTTGTGGTAAAGAGCGGCTATTTTTAAGACGAATATAAGGTTCTTTTTAAATAGATTTTAAAACGTTAGTTCATTTTATTAGGAAATATGCTTACTTTAAAGAAAAAAAAAAAAGTTGGAAAAGCTGTCTTCTGTAGCATCAGCCCGGATGTATTTTCCAGAGATGTTTAATGCTCCAGAATAAAAATCGATTTTAGAACAACAGCAGCGATATGTCATTGTGTTCTACTGCTTCATCTAAAAAATCAGAAATATTTTCATTCTTTTCTTGCCTTCTTCAGTGGCTCGTTAAAGTGTATTAGAAGAATCAATTTTTGCTTAGGTTTTAAAAAGGGATGCCCAGAAACAAATGGAAAGAATTCTTCCCTGAAGCAGCAAGTGCTTACTCGCTCCCACACAAACTTGCTGCCTTTCTAATAATGCTTTATTTGATTTTTGGTTTCTAAATTGGAGATCGTTAATCTCGGGGTGCATTTCCCGGCGGTTGCTTGGTTGGTTGCTTATTTATTTGGTTTTGAGGGGTTAATCTTTGCATCCCCGCAGCAGCCTTAGTGGACCAGGAGCGCGGAGTTGCACTGGCGTTATTTGACTTCCCTTGGTTTATTCCCCTCACCGCCCAAGGAAAACTTTGCTAAAGGAAAATCAGAAACCCAAACCAAACAGCGGGAAACCCCACCCCGCTTTCCCTGCGTGGCATCACCTCGGATTTGACACGCAGTTCCTTTTTCCAAGGGCTCAATGAGCGGTTCCTAGAATTCCGTCTCTGAATTCGTTTGACGTTTTATTGCTCATGAAGAAACACAAGCGCTTGGGAAGTGTTTCTATCTCTATATTTAAAAAACAAACAAACCCTAAGACCTGCTCAGCCCTGCAGGAAGCAGGTAGCGAGAAATATAACCAAGAATCTCCTTCCACTGATTTTTAACATAATGGGCGCTCTAAAGGGCAGTATTTCACTCCTTTAAGAAAATCCTTTCTTTGGGGCAGCTCTGAAAAGAAAACAAAAGAAGAAGGAAGATATTTGGAGCTTACTGAGGGAAGAGAGAGAAAGGGAAGTAACTTGTCATAAAAAGAAAAAAAAAGGGAAAATTCAGTGCAGTGTGCTGCAATAAAAGAATATGACCGCTATAAAACTTTATAGGGTATAAATTTCTGAAGGTTAAGGAACTAAACGGCTGTAAAGGAAACAGTGCAAGAAAACTTTCAGGAACTCCTAAATTACTACAACGACTTGGGAATGTGGGGAAACCCAACGTGCAAATGCTCTTATTTCTGATCCAGTCACATGCAAACTTTCCCTCTTTATTTCCTCCCCCCCCTTTATTTTCTGTTTTTTTTTTCCCTAAGGGAGGGGGCAGTTAAAAAATAAGGAGGAGGGAGAAGAGAGGGAGAGAAAAGGTGGGGAGGGACTTTTGCTAATTTATTCTTCTCTTGCAGATGCCGTGAAAGTCCAGCGCTCTGGATCATTCCCTTTGTTCTTTTTTTCCCCTTCTTCTTCTCTCTCTCTCTCTCCCCCCCCCCCCCTTTTTTTTTTCTCTTTTTCCTTTAAAGCAATTCCAGGCTGCCAGAATGCTGAGCCATGCACACAACAACAACACACACACAAGGGGCACCCCCACACTCCAAACCCTGGCGAGACGTCTGGGCTTGGGAAGCTCTTTATGGGTTTACAGCTCGGGCCTTTCCCCCTCCAGAACAGAATGACCAATTGTTTAGTCTCGGGATTTGAAACAATAGCGGTTTTCAAAAGCAAACCCATTTTGCCTCTTTTATTGCGGGCCAGAGCGGCTGGATGGCAGAGTTTTCCGCGCGGAAAACTTCAGCGCTGCGGGGCGAGGGGGAGGGAGCCGCTTTTCCCTTTCCCCCCCCTCTTTTCCCTCCTCTCCTCCCCTCGCTTTTTGGCTCGTTTTATTCCTCCAGGTCCGAGTGGGACCCCCCTTTATCTGCCTTCCTCTGCTAAGGAAACCTCTGAGCCCCTCTGCACAGGCTGCAGCTCCGCGCGGCGCCGCGAGGTGGCGCCCTTGCTCCACGCTAGACGCGCGTCTCCCGCGCTCGGCCGCGTTGTCCCGCGTAACACCTTGATCTCATTAACGGCTGCTTGCCGGCGAGCACGAATAATCCCGAGGCATAAAATATAGCGTTAATTATCGCTATTTTGCCAATTTTATAGGTTACATCTATTTTTTTTTTCCCTGCGAGGGTAAATTATATGAGGCTGAAATAAATAAATAAATATTTTTAAAAGAGACTTAATCTGGAGCCTGAGATACAGGGAGAGGTGGGACATGCATCTCTCTTAAATGTTAATTTAAAGGGGAGAAAAAAATAGTGCCTCGCGTTTTGTCTTCTGCTGGTGCAGGTGGAGGCAGGAGGACGCTTCATTATCTCCAAAGCGAAGATTTACGTTTGCAGGATGGGGAAAGAGATTGGAAGGTTTCGGGAAGAAAGGCACAAACAGAGTCAGGACATTGTCCCCTGGCTCTTTACCTAAGCCATTGGAACGATCTGCGCTTTCTCCTGCTTTTATATCTTCAATACCTGTAGTCATCGCCTAAAAAAAACCCTAATATATGCTTTTGTTGGAAGTGGAACCCGTCATTTTGGGCATAGTTGCTCCATCTTTTGGTAACTCTCTTTGCAAGTATTTTTAAATGCCAAAGCCCAGTAAATTAATCCAAAATGCCATTAACTCAGCGCCTTTTGTGACACGTATAAATACCCCACTGATGCAGCAGCCAAGATGTAAACTCTTAACTCTATTAGTTCACTTTTATTTTGGCCTTTGTTTCTTCAAAATTACAAGACAAAAATGATTCAGACGTTCCAGTCCTTCAGCTGCAAATTCATCTCCAAATACCATGGAAAGGAGCTGTGGCAAAGGTTTCAAATTCTCTTTCAAATCTCTATAAACCAGGTATTTTCTGAATCAATGCTTTTTCCGAAGCCACCTCAGAAAATAAACCCGTTCCTCGGTGAGCAGCATTCTGGACGAGAATGTAACAAATTAACCCGACACACACAACAGAGCAGGATGCGATGTGTTGTTTTAAGAGCTTAAGCATCTCCAGGCCCTGTTTAAACGCTATAAAATGAAATAGAAATGTAAACAGGCATAGATGGGGAAAATAAAGACAAATCCTGTCCTTGTGCACTCGGGAAAAGGCAGAGAAGGAAAACTTCAGGTTTACCTAGGAGGGTTTGGGGTTCTTTTATTTTATTTTTTTTTTACCCTTTTTCTTTTTTTTTCCTTATGAATTCCTAATGAATCTTTCCTCCACTGGGTATTTATAAATTATCTTCTCTCTCAGAGACATGCACACACACACATCTCCGTTTGTTTTTTCTTATAATAGAAACATTTTCCTTTCATCAGGAATCTGAGTACAGTATAGGAATGATTTAAGATCAGCCATTGATTTCTGGTGCGTTGGTGAGTTACCATTACATCATGACCATAAAATTCTACTGCACTTGATAAAAATGTGAACTTCCAAGAACAACTTCTCTCCCTCCTCCATGGGGTCCACGTACGAAAGGGAATTCCTGTTATTTTTTACTTTACGAGCTTCAATGGAAGGGGGTACGCCAGTAAAAACACATAGGAGAGAGCTCATCTTCCAAAAATACTTCAGTCAATTCTTCTTTTTACATCTATTTGCCCTTCTTGAAAACTCGAGCATCCCCACGCCAGGCTGTGAAGCTCTATTTACTTGTGTGCACCATTCCGGGGCTTTATGTTCAAAGCCGAAACCAAAAGCTGCTCAATCGACAATAAAAGTGTTGGGAAAAAGAAAACGTCAACTTGTCTTTTGGAGGGGGAAAAGCCTTAATTATACCGCTGCAAGTACTCCAACAACAATAATTACTTGAAAAGGCTCTTAGACTCGACTGAAATTATCCCAACACAAAATAAAGGAAACGTATTTACTTAAATTATTTCTCTGAGGATGGTTTTAAAGTTTTACTCCTTTACTATCTTTGTTTTCTTTCTTTCTTTCCCCCACTCTCTTTCTTTCTCTCTTTCTTTATTCCTTACCTATTCCCACTGCCAATTTTAATCCAATATTTTTAATTTTCTCGCCCAAAGCCCTGGCAAGACAGACTAACCGAAACATCGCAACTTTTTCCTCTTTTCCATGTTGCGGAGATTGAAAATAGTCCCTCGGTTGAAGCCAGGCACAAGGGAAATCGCTTTTAATTCACCTTTCCCGTGTCAAACCCGCACAGAAGGATGAAATGGGAAAGAGCAGAAATTTACCCAGCGCAAAGGGGGGGGGGGGGGGGGGGCAAAAAATGAAATAACAGAGGTTTAAAAGAGTGCCTTTAAGTCTTATTGAAGGTTGAAGGATCGGAAAATAGAGCTGGGATAGTGAGAGGCTGGGGCAGCGCTGGGCTGGGGGGTTGTGTCGTTATTAGCTGAAATACGTCTCAGTAATATTTGCTGACTGCGATAAATGAATTTCAAAATCTACCCCCTGTGTGTTTAGATGGTGGAAAATTGCAACGTTGGCATCTTAGGGGTAAGTTTGCTCCGTTGTTACCAAATGCCAATAAAATAGAAAGCCTCTCACCCACACTCCCCCCCTCAATCCCCTCCTCCCAGTTTTCATTGGGGGTATCATGAAACAAATAATTAAATAAATAAAATGGAAGTTCTTGGGGAGGGGTTGAGGTAGGGAACAGCCATCAGCTACTGACCAGAAAGGTTCTGGTCGGGGTGCGATAAGCGACACGACACTTCCAGTCCCAATCGCCCCCAGTCACATCTTGGCCAAGTCCTGGAGGAAAAGGTGGGGGGGGAAGAAAGGCGGAAAGTCAACCTTATACATGGAAAACTCTGATCATTTGAATTCAATATTGACACCTCAACATCTCGCTGCAACGCGGACGGGTCCAATCGAAACCTCTGGTTTATAGCAGTGGAAGAACGAACTCGTAAAATCCTAACGGCTTTTATGTAGTGCGGTATAAACAACAACAACATCCCCGGCTTTATGGCGTTTTATAGTTTGTTAAACAGTTTACAGCCTTTTTTGGGGCTATTACAAATGCAATTCCCTTCATGTGATAGTTAAACCTTTATCAATAATAAGGAAATTGATCATTAAAATGTTAAATATGACTACCTCGTTTGTTTTAAAATATGTTTAGGGTAAGAAGCTGTATGATTTGATAACTTGTATTAAAATACCAATTACATTT